AGACAGAGTACCTCAGTTCTCATTTCATGGCCCTGCTGCTGATTAACTTTGTGACTGTAAACATATTATGTAAACTTGTGGGGCCCTAGTTTCTTATCTCTTCCAATAGGAAAAACTGTATCTCACAGGTCTGCAAGCAGATCAAATTAAATCATGCCTTTGAAAAGGCCTTGTAAACCAGGGAGGTATCATTAGCACCTCTTTAGCCACCTCTGTCATTCCTGGAGCTGGTGAAGGGCAAACAAGGCTGAGAGTCAGGCAGACAGGTCAGGTCGCAAGGCCAGGAATCCTCACCTTGCTCTTCGGCTTCTCAGGTTTCAGCCCCTAAGACATCTGATGGCAAGGGGGTGCCGGTGGGAACAGAAGTTGAAGCAGCAATTGGGTTAGCAGGATCTGTTTTGTATCCCAGAGATAAAAAGTCTTAAAGCTAAACCTGAAGCTGGAAGCAGGAGAAATAGATGCCTGGTGCATTGGTATAGCAATAGATGTGCCCACTCCTTCAGCCTGGAACAGGATTTAAGTGCTTGACATGGGGATGGGGAGTGGGCTGTTCAGATATCAGATGTCTTAAGTCTTGAGACAGTCCCTAGAACTGACCCTGGGACAGAAGAGCAGAAGGAGAGAGAGGAGCTCCTGGCCGCAGACAGGTCAATGTTATTGCCTGAGCAACCACCCCAGTCCCTGAGAATGGGACTCACACGGGAGAGCTCAGAGCCAGAGCCCTCACTCTATGCTTCTGAAGCTAGCTGTCACTCTATAAAAATGGTCTCTGGTGCTAATTCATTTATAGACATGTGAGGAAAGCTCATTCTGTAATTAATTGAGACATTCCATAAAAATACTGCTAACTCACAGCTATCCAGAACAAATTAGTGGTCACCAGGGGAGGACAGGGAAGGGAGGAGGGGCAATATAAGGTTAAGAGGTAGGGAAAATGTGTATTTTGGGATTCTATGATATCGTGTGTTGTGAAACTTATGAAAAATGTAAAGCACAATAGAATTTAAATAATCTTTCATCCAATAAAAAAATAGAATGAAAATAATGCTACAGTGGAGGGGTGGGGGGGTGGAAAGAATACAGTTGCCAGAGGTCCTTTGAGGAGTGCAGCGCATCACAGCTTTACAGAGGACCCCCTTGCTGTGAGACTGAGTTTGTCAGACTACAGGTTTGTTCCTGGTGGTCCTGCAGAATACTCATTAACCAAGCTAAAGCATTATCAAATCCTATACTTGCTTCACATTCCTGCACTTTTAAAAACGAAGTAAAATAATTTAAACAAATGATAGACCCAAGTCATTTCATCCCCACTTACTTCAGTATGTATCTCAAAAACAATGCATACACTTTCTTACATAGCCACAATATTCTGGTTTGTATTTTTTAGTTCCCATAATTTAGGTTAATGAGAAATCAATGCTTTCTTAGGATGTCCTAAGAAAATCAAGTTTCTGAATCTGATGCACAGTGAACTCACTAAGGTAAAATGCCTTATGTAAATGTCTCTTCCAGCAGTCAACAGAACCCCTGTCTGAACATGATTTTAATGACCAGACTACAACAACCAGGGTCCCTCACCTCTAACATGCACAAGTCTATTCACACTTGTGTACACAGCCACAAACAATGCACACACACATGACTAAGGGGAAAATGAAGTGACCTCTTCTACACAGTATAGCAATGGGTCAGTGTAGCAATACTCATAGGCTATCAAGATAAGTAGGGATGCTACCTATACAGAGAACACAAAATCTATGCTGGCTTGGAAAAGAGTAAATGAGAACATCAGAGAGCTAGGAAAGTACCGGCTTATTGGGAAGGGAAGTGAAAACCACAAGCCACTACCAATAGAAGCAGTATTTCATTCCAGGATGAAATTCTGCTGGTTCCACCTCATCACTTCTATCCCGGTGTATAAGACTCTCATTAACCTCCCCTTGCCTTCCCCATCATACCCAGTAGCCTCCTCCTGACTCGTGGGTCCCTAGGGTAGTAACTTCATAGGAAGTCCTCTTTCCCATCCTTCCTCTCCATCTTCCTTACTTCCACACCTCCCCCACAAATGCCTCTTCCACTAACTCCCCAAAGTTTTAACTTTAAGAACACACTTCTTTGGCCTAAAGCATATTCGGCACATAGCACAGTGCGTCTGGTTTACAACAAATTCATATGCTGGAATCCTAATGCCCGCTGATGTGATGGTGTTAGAAGGTGGGGCCTTTGGACAGTGATTAGGTCATGAGAGTGAATAAACAGGATTAGTGCTTCGTAAAGGTGAGCCCACTGAGCTTCCTAGCCTCTTCTATCATGTGAGAACACAGTGAGGAAGGGCCAGCAATGAACCAGAAAGAGCATCCTCACCAGAACGCAACCTTGCTGTTGATGTTGGACTTTAAAGCCTCCAGAAATGTGAGAAATACATTTCTGTTGTTTATATGCCATTTGATTTGTCGTATTTTGTTATAATAGTCCAAACAGACTAAAATAACCTGCTAAGAAATATGGGTTGGGTAGATGGATGATGAGTGGTATAAATGAAAGGGTAATACTTCAAGACCTATGTGAGTTTTGATGTAACTCTAATATGACATGGAAAGACCATTCACCAAAATGAGTAACCAGTCATAACAAGCAGCTAATCACTCAAACGATTATACAAGTGAGAATGTTACATACACACCTTCCCCACCACCATCACCAACCAGAAAGCATAGAAGGGAGCAAAATGTCAGAATGGAAAGATGGTGGGCACTTGGCTTGGACAAATTTTGACTCCACCGTTCTCTAGTTGGGAGACTTACACATGGACAATAGTGCCCCAGACAACAGGCTGAGGCCTGCTGCGGCTCTGCTTCCTCTGCTCAACAAATGCTCTTCGAATACCTACTAGGTGCCAGGCAGAGGACCAAATGTGGGAGACACAGCGGTGAGCAAACACGTGCAGTCCCCCATTCTCATGGAGCACAGAGTCTTAACAAGGCAGTTGGAGGCAGCTCTTAATCAAATAATGTCGCTAATGAAAATAAAGTTACACAGTGAGACATTAGCACATGTAACAGATGGAGTCATCTAGACTTGGGGTGCTATGAGTGCCGTGGGGAGACTGGCTCCAGAGTTTACCTAGAATCAATTAGGTAAAGGAATGTTGAGGAAAACCATTCCTAATAAGGCAACTGTGCTTACAAAGGCTGTGATCAAAACCTCAAACAATGCAAGTTCAGTGTGGCTTCCTGTTAGAGTGCCTGAGCTAGGGGTGAAGGGGAGGGTGGAGACTCAGTCAGATTTCTATTCTGAAAAGTCCAGAGCATTTTAACAGGACCCCTGGGAGGCTGGGGCAGCCACAAGCATAGCACTCTGTGGGTTCTGGGACCCCAGCTGCACCCCATCTGTATGAGGACAGGTAGGCGGCCTTAACAGAACACTGGGAAGCAGGGACTGATGGACCTGAGTAAAGAGCCTGAATCCTCCAGCATCTGTGCTAGGAAGGGGCTCACTGACATGCGTACATGATCAAGCGGAGGGAGAATGCAGTAAAATCCCTAACTTCTAACTAGCGATGGGTCTAGATCAGGGTCAGCAAACTACAACCCAAGAGCCAAATCCAGCCAGCACATATTTCTGGGCAGCCCACAAGTTAAGAAAAGTTTTCACATTTTTAAATGGCTGAAAAAAAATCAAAAGAAGATGGAATATTTTGTGCCAGGTGAAAATTACGTGACAGTCACATTTCAGTGTCTATAAATAAAGTCTTATGGGAAAACAATCGTGCTTGTTTACTATCGTCCATGGCTTCTTTCCCAACACAGCAGCAGAGCCGATAACTGCCACCAACACTAGGGTAGTGCTGCAAAGCTAAAATTATTTACTATCTGGCCCCTTATAGAACAAGGTTGCCCGTCCTTGGGCTAGTCAGAAGAGCCTATAAATCTGAGCGTGTGGTCAGAAAACTGACAAATAAGCTTTAGTGGGAACAAGTGCAAAGTAATGCACATTGGGATAAAAATATACAAACTATTTATAAAATGAAGACCAGGCTCTGAGCTATGAGGTCACAGCTCAGAACTAAGCACAATGGCAAAGACTGAAGGCAGCTAGAGCAACAGTGTGTGAATTTCCTGCCCCAGACTATAAGAATCAGTACACAATGGATGGGGCTGGTTATCTGATGACACCCCTGGATAGAGGCCTGGGGAATGATTTCAGGACAACTAAGCTAAAATTCAACCTAGAAGAAAGGCTATATTATTTTGCACTTTCACTTAAAAGTTATATAGAGACATAGATAATGACAGTCTGCATATAATCGCCAGAAGAAATTAGTGATAAAGATTTAGAATCTGTGGTATTACTACTGGGCTACTGGGGGATGGGTTATCATCAAGACGTTGTCTTGTTCAACTTTATAGCCCCAGTCCCTAGGTTAATGATTGGCATATGATAAGTGTTCAAACAATATTCGTTGAATAAAAGGAGAAAAGGAAGATGAGAAGGAAGGAGGGAGGGAGAGGAAGAGAGACAGATGAAGGAGGGAAAGAAGGAGGGAAACGGTGTAGAACCTATAGAGTTTGAAGGCTGAACAGGAGTTGGACATCCTCCAAGAATAAGGAAGAACATCCCAGTGGGAAAACAGAAGCATAAGAGGCCAGGAGAGTTGATGAGGCCTGGAAAATATATCACAATAAAACTCCCTGTCACCTTTGCTCTATCTCCAAGGTAACTTGGTTTCTCCTACCACTGGCCCTGTGAAGGGGCCAGGGCCACAGGAGAGGTGTGTCCTCCAGGACAATTAAGGCATCAGCCACACAGTAAGTTCCTCTCCGGGCAGTAGGGCATACACTGATTTCTGCAGCCTGATCCTCAGGGATAGTTTCCACACCTGCAAAGCTGATAGAACTGACCTGGGACCTTGGCAGCTCTAGCAGGGTCATCAGGGGCCCTACCTCATGTGGCCGCCTCCCTCTTGAACACCTCTGACCTCTTCCATTTCAATGCAACAGGATTCATGTCTGGAGAGTTCCCTGAGAACACCCAACCCCGTGTGCTGCAGGCCCAAAAGGAACAAGGTGCCTTTCTCAGGTAAGATACTCTACCTGCCCGACAAACACTCAGCCAGGGCTCCAGAATCCAAATGTCCAGGGTTCCGGAATCTATTCTTGCTGCGAGGGAAATTCATCCTAGTAATGTGAAAGTCCCAGGCCCTGGGAATCCCCTCTGTCCCAAGCCAACCAGGACAGTTGGTCACCTGCCAGATGGATTCCACATTTAATACACTGGGCTGGTTGGGGAGGAGGAAATTTCCCTCTGTCCCTCTTGAATTCATGTGGCTGGACTTAAAATTAATGGAAAAAAAGAAACAAATTTTAATTCACACCCATGGAAGACCCATAGAATTAGACCTAAGAAGTAGCCAAAGTAGGCAGACTTTATACTTTTTTCTCTTTGGCTACACTGGGTCTTCCTTGCTGTACCCAGGCTTTTTCTAGTTGCGGTCGCTAAGCCGTGTCCACCTCTTTGCAACCCCATGGGCTGAAACCCATCAGGTTCCTCTGTCCGTGGTATTTCCCAGGCAAGAATACTGGAGTGGATTGCCACTTTCTTCTGTAGGAGGATCTTCCTCACCCAAGGATCGAACCTGTGTCTCCTGCTTGGCAGGCAGATTCTTTACTGCTGAGCCACCTGGGAAGCCCCTCTAATTGCAGTGGCAGGACTACTCTTCCTTGCTTTGTGCAGCCTTCTCATTGCAGTAGCTTCTCTTGTTAGAGGGCACAGGCTCCAGGAGCACGTGCTTCAGGAGTTGCAGCACACAGGCTCACACCATGTATGACTCACGAGCTCGAGTGTGTGGCCTCAGTAGCTGCGGCACACAGGCTTATTCGCCCCACAGCATGTGGAATCTTCCTGGACCAGGGATCAAAACCATGTCCCCTGCACTGGCAGGCGGATTCTTAATCATTGAATCACCACTGGAAGGACTGGTGCTGCAGCTGAAGTTTCAATACTTTGGGCACCTGATGCGAAGAACAGACTCATTGTGAAAAGACCCTGATGCTTGGAAATACTGAGAGCAAGAGGAGAAGTGGGTGACAGAGGATGAGATGGTTGGATGGCATCACCGACTCAGTGGACTTGTGTGTGTGCGTGTTAGTAGCTTAGTCATGTCTGACTCTTTGCAACCCCATGGGCTATAGCCTGCCAGGCTCCTCTGTCCATGGAATTCTCCAGGTAAGAATACTGGAGTGGGTTGCCATTTCCTTCTTCAGGGGATCCTCCTGAGCCAGGGATTGAACCCACGTCTCCTGCACTGCAGGCAGATTCTTTACCATCTGAGTTTGAACAAACTCCAGGAGATAGTGGAGGACTGGGAAGCCTGGCGTGCTGCAGTTCGTGGGGTCACAGAGTTGGACACAACTTAGCAACTGAACAACAACAAAAACCAGGGAAGTAAATGTTTTATACTTTTTAGACAAACTTTTTTGGGAGGAATTGACAGGACAAAGAAACTTAGGTTCTGGGTGCCCAATTCGTGAAGAATCAAAACAGAGTTTTGGCTTGGGGTAGTGAGCTAAAGAAGTAGTGAAGGTTTGTTTACATAGGCTTCTCAGTTCCAATTCCCTATCTTTGGTGATAAGATGTCCTTGTATCTGAAGATGTAGGGAGTGTACTTTTCACAAGAAGAGATTTCTTTCCTGCTTTCAGGAAGACAGAAGGTTCACAGTGTCTCTTCTTCAATTGGCCATAACTTTTATTCAAAATAAATAATATGCCATTAAGTCATATTTTTGGGGTGGCCTACCCAACAGGCTTCTTGTTCCACTGTTCCTAGACCTCATGTGGGCCTGCTCCGGAGAAACTGCTGCCTCCCAGAATGTGCAGAGTGGCTCCTTCTGGATCAGGGAAGGAACAGTCTGGGCCGGTTGGGTCACTGGGAACAGAACAGACCAAGAGGCCAAGGAGGAGGGTTCCCAAGGAACCTCAACTATTGGAAACTTGGATCTACGGCTCCCATTTTTTATCTGGTGTCTGTATGTGTTTCTGTGTAAACAATGAAGATGAAACAATGAGGATGGTATCAGGGAAAACCTTCAACATTTACAATGTTTGAAGACAGGGAAGAACTACCAAAGGAAAGACTGCCTGAAACATTCTTTGTGAGTAAGCAGAATGTGAGTTATTAAAATATAAATAACAAAGAGGAATATATAACTTTGTTGGTCAGTACAAAACAGTTGTATAATTACAGTAATTTATATCTAATGACCATGTAGCATAGCGATTACGAGGCATTACTGTGTCATGTAAATCATACACAAAGATCTTTGTGATTAGGGTACTAAATTCTGTTCAGTCATGTGTGCACGGTGACTAGCTTAAAACCATTAAAAGTAATTTAGGTTGGCTTAGTCTGGTTTTTTTGCTTCAGGGAGTACAGAGAGTGAAATAGTAGGTGAACTTGTTTCATTTGATTCAACGAGGACCAATATAAAGATACTTAAAAAAAAAAAAATAACGCCATCTTTATTTGTAAAAGAATTCTGGGAAAAAGTCAAAGCACTTTGATTAGATTTTAATCTAATCAATCCTCACAATAACCCCAGGAGGGAGTTCTTACACAATGGCTTTCTTTGTTTAAAGCCACCAGTTGTCAGAGGCCACAAAAAAGTCCCTTTGTCTGCCATTGCTTCTTTGTCCCAATTTAATTCATAAATGTTGTAATGTTCTTTGAAATGAGTCTAGTATAAATACAAACTACTAGCATATTAATACTCTCTAGTCATTATGGGACATATTGACCTTCCCAGTAAGAATTTCTTACAAATGACTCTACATACTAGCTTAAAGACATAAAAATGTTTGTTAGAAAGGAACTTAAAGTCATGGATGAACTCTCTACAACAAAAATATTTTCATCTATTAATTACATGTATTTACAGTGTTTCTGCTCTGAGCACAATGTCAGCTACTATGGGCACACAGAGCCCAGGAGAGAAATATAGTAATTGTAACAGTGAAACATGGAGAAGAAAATGGCAACCCACTCCAGTGTTCTTGCCTGGAAAAGTCCATGGACAGAGGAGTCCACGGGGTTACATGACTGAGCTTGTGTGCACAAGGGTGGAGGGAGATGGGTTGGTAGCAATAAACTGATAGAACTAAAAAAAAAAAAACAGTGAAATATATGTGGTAGTGATCAAGAGGTCTAAGTAAGTCAAAACATGTTTAAAAAACCAAAAATGGAGTGTAGCAATCCTAAGAAGGATATCTGATGACCAGCATTCGCTTGTACCCCTGGTTTGCAATTTGATTTAGATGGCATGGTCTTTAATAGCTCTCACTAACAAAGTAGGTTAAGTGGATGTTTCACATTCAAAATCTCACTGGATTCTTACAGTGTTGCTATGAAACAGGTAGGACAAATTTTTTGTTTTTTTGTTTTTTTCGGTAGGACAAATTTTATTTTCCACTATTAACACACAAGGAAATGAGTTCAGCAATAGTACACTGCTAGAGATCACAGTGAATAGATGGCAAAATTAGAAGCTGAAACCACGTTTTCCAAATTCCACCCTCATCTTCAAGTCCCCCAGCCCAGCCACAACCTCCAAACTTCAGGACCGATGTGCTTAGTTCTTTTTTTATATATACTTTTTTAAAGTTGATATGTTGTATTTTTAGTTTTATTCAATTCAAGAATTTTTTTTTGGCAGAGCAGCATGCAGGATCTTAGTTCCCCAGCCAGGGAACTGAACCACTGGACTAGAGGGAAATCCAATGCTTAGTTCTTAAATTACTGTCCCAGCTGGGACCTGCTATTCCCTTTCATTTCAGCCAGACATGATCAGAGAAATCCATAGGAATATTTAATTTAAAAAAATTTTTAAAGACAGAAACAAAGATATGAAAACAACGAACCTGTTTGAAAGTAGGTTTGGCTCACAGGTTGGTGAAACGGTAGATGGTCTCTAGAGCCAGAGATCTCCTTTATCTCTTCCCTGGCCAAGAAGGCAACTGCCTGTCCTCAGGTAATCTATTTCTGGTATTTCTTCTCCCCTGGAGGAGAGGTTAAACTGAATCTCCAGCCACTGTGTTACTGAGTAATCCATGGAAAGATGAAAGCATTACCTTCACCAGAGTTGTGTATCACATCACTAACTCTTGTTCATATCCATCCAACAGCTTTCATCCCCTCCTGAAAAAGGCACGGGAACACATTCCAAAGACATCCTATAGGAACTTCCTACAGCCACATACTCCAACAGACAAAAGAGTTCTCAGGATGGGGAATATGCAGCATCTGAACCTGTCAACTAAGTAGATGAAGCACCTTTTCCACATTTCAATTAAAAAAAAAAAACCTTTTCCCCATTCCATTCCCAAACTGGATTTCACAGGACAATGCAGAGGTCTCAAGTTGCTGGCAAATCTTTGATGTATGAAACAGAGATCTCTCCTAACATATCCCAAGAAGTCTAGATATTTTTCTGCAGATTATTCCATTTTTATGCAGAAAGAAACCAAGAGGGACAGTGTAAAGTGATAGTTAAGTGCTTGAGCTCTGAAACCAAACTGATCTGGAACTGAGTTCCTGCTCTGTTGGCAGCACGACTCTGGCCAAGTTACCTAATCTCCCTGAGATTCTGCGTCTCCATCTACTTAAAAGATAGCAATCACTGGCAATGATAGAGCACTTACTATGTGCTAGGAACTAGGTATGCTAAGTTTTACATGCTCTATATACATTAATCCTTATTAAGGCCCTGTGAAGCAGGTATGATTATCACTCCCACTTCTTAGGTAAGAAAATCGAAGCACCAAGAGGTTAAACAGCTTGCCAGAGATTATATGACTCTAAGTGGGGAAATCAGGATGCAAACACAAGCAGTCTGACTCCCACACCCATGCTTTGTATCACTAGTGATTATATCCAAGTGATTCTATAAGGATTAAATGAATTCAGGTAAATCAGATCCCCTGCCTAGTACCTGGCACATAAACAAGCCTTAAGTAAACGTTACCTATAGTATTAATTTTAGCACTGTCATTTGTTCCAAGAGATATCTGGGCCAGAAAACAGGTTTTGACATAGGATATTTTGCATCTATTCCAGTTAACTGCCCTGAGATATGTGTCCTGAAATCGAATTGACAGGTCTCTGCTATTATCTAAACCATCTGTATGTTATAGGTTACCTGGTTAAGAGATAGGCTAAATGGTTGACAACTTTTTCCATTTGCCCAAAGTATTAAGTATTGTCTCTTATAAAAGAATGGCATACTGATCAACAGCTAGCATACTTGCAGGAAGCACTCTGCTTATAAATGGGTTGTGTTTCAAAAGCTGACTTATCTATTGTTATAAACTCTGAATAAGTAGACAAAAGGTTGAAAATGCTGGTTACCTTCCAAGACTATTCACAGAAATCTATTTATTTAGCCCCCTTTAAAGTTTAAGGATAGAAATCAGGCCACTCAAGGTAGGCCTAGGAACAAGAGTCCATGTGATAAAAGAATAAGAGAGGTGTCTTTTCTGGAACAGACGAAAGTTGATATCGACTATATTAGTCATCTACTGCTGTGTAACACCTTACCCCAAAACTTACCATATTTTAGCTCTTCCCAACAAAGTTTACTGTAAGTATCAAAAACAAACAAACAAAACACATGCTCTTGCCTCATCTTGTTTTCAAAAATATCAATCTCCATTCCTTAATGGAATCTCATTTGCAAAATTTTTATTAAAGAGTGATCACATTCCTGAAATACTTTATTTGTTATTTCTCATTAGTAGGATTTCAGGCAATATAACAAACTAAAAGTACTAACAGCAAATAAACTATTCCCAATCTGGATGGATTAATATTGGAATTAAGGAAGCAACCTTCAGGAAAATTTCTTCCTTCTGTTGATAATGACCGGAGTCCCCTGGTTATTAAATACTCTGGGTCTAGGGAACTAGGTGATCGCTAACCCAGTTTTCCTAAACTGACTCCCATGACTGCAGTTCTGTAGGAATATTGTGGGCATTCAAAGGTGAGTTGCACCTGAGACATGCAAGATTCTAAAGTGTCATCTGGATCTTCAGAGGAAAATGATGTTTCATACGACTTTTTATTGTATTATTGTATTTTCTGTAACTTAAAATGTGGTAATTCATATAGATTGTTGTTAAAATATGTTTATAAACACTGGATTAATGGGAGTTTGCACTACAGTTCAACTCCAAGCAGAAGCTAGGGTCTTGATCTGTGAGCTCTCCTAACAGTGCTGTTGTTTTCATCTTATTTGAGTTTGAACCCCATTTGAGAATGTGATGAAGGCTAACAGACTTACTCAAGAAAATACATATACCCACAAAATTTTGCAAGTAGTTTTAAGGCCTCCAAATCCCCTAAGACTCATCCAAAGAATCGCCAGAGAAGCAGGAGGTAGGGCTTATTGTCATTTCATTTTGTCATTAAAATTAGATCTAAACTAGAAGCTACCACTAAAAATTTAATTCTTTTTAAACCTTGTTGTTAAATAAAATCAACAGCCAGTACAAATACTTCTACAGTAAGTTTCCTACTTACAAACGAATTCCATTCTGGGAGCACATTTGCAGGTCCAATTTGTTCCAACCAAGTTAGCCTAGGTACCCAACTAAGACAATGGGCTCTATAATACTGTACTGTAATAGGTTTATAATACTTCATAATACTTTTTACACAATGCATAAAAACAAACACAAAAATAAACATTTTTAATCTTATAGTACCTTGAAAAGTACAGTAGTACAGTACACAGCTGGCATACCAGGGTTGGCACTGAGTGAACAGGCAAGAAGAGTTACTGGCTGGAGGGAGAGGAGGTGGGAGCTGATAGCGCTGAAGCAACAGGAGACGGGAGGGCAAACTGTAATTTCACTCACACCTGACATTAAGGGCACAGGTTCTGATTCCTTGCTGGATTCAAGTTTATCTACATTCTTGAAAAAAAAAAAAAAAGATCCAGTGCTGTCTGGGTAGTACTATAAACCAGCTACATCACTGCTGCTGTTAAATTTGCTTCCGGACATCCTGAGCTTAAAATAAAGATACTGGAGTACTATACTCTATATAGTATTGTACAGTAAAGTACACAAAAGCGCAACCGCTTGTAGAGGATGCACATATATGATAATATATGCCAGACACGTGAACTCACCTATGTGGTTAGGCAGGGGGAAAGCATGGAAAGCATGTTCGCATCTTTGAAAGTTCACGCCTTTGACCGGTCACAACTTGAAGGCTGGTATGTAGGGGACTTACCTCCTGTGCTTGGGTTTAGTCCATACTGTAAATACCTTGGCGGCAAAAGGAACCTGATAGGGAGCACACAGATAACACATACTTGCTGAAAAACAACAGTAAATATAAAGCAGGACACTGAACTGCTTACGACCACAAGCCTTGCCCTCTCCAAGCTGATCTGACTGTGCAGCAAATTTTGCCAACTTGCCAGAGAGGCAACAACTCTAATGGCAGAAAAGCTGCTCAACTTAGCAAGAAAGGGTTACATTCTCATGTCGCCAAGCATCCGAAACTCAGATCTCAATCAAAGATTCTCTAGGCCGTCCTTCAACGGAGCGAACTCCCGGCAGCAACGCCCAACCTCGGGTGGGCGGGACCGTAGAAATCTGCCCACTTAACCCGAGGACTCCAACTCCATCCGACCCGGCCTCCCAGCCTAGCGAAGTGGAGAGCCCGGTGAGGGGCGGGGGACGCGGCGCGCGCCCCTGGCCTGCCCCGCCCCTCGCGTGCGCCTCAGCCTGGCGCAGCCGCCCCGGGCTTCGGAACTTGTGGGCTCTGTCGGGCCGCCTATAATTTATAATGTTTCGTTTCCCGCAGGATGAGGAGGGACGCGCCGCAGTGCCCCTGGGAACTGGCTCTCCAGTGAAGTAGGAGTCGCCGGCCGGCCGCCTGCACCCAGCCGCTCGGCGCCGCGGCCGCTCAGCCAGTGCCATGGCCGGATCCGGCGCGTGGAAGCGCCTCAAATCAATGCTGAGGAAGGATGATGCGCCGCTGTTCTTAAATGACACCAGCGCCTTTGACTTCTCGGACGAGGTGGGCGACGAGGGGCTTTCTCGGTTTAACAAACTTCGAGTTGTGGTGGCCAACGACGGTTCCGAAACCCCGGAAAGGCCTGCTAACGGGGCGCACTCGGCTCTCCAGGCCGACGATGACTCCTTGCTGGACCATGACTTACCTTTGACCAACAGTCAGCTGAGTTTGAAGGCGGACCCCTGTGACAACTGCAGCAAGCAGAGAGAGTTGTTGAAACAGAGAAAGGTGAAAACCAGATTGACCATTGCTGCCGTTCTTTACTTGCTTTTCATGATTGGAGAGCTTGTAGGTGAGTTGTGTTGCCAACTCACTTTCCACTTACCTTGCCTATTGCTTTGGGATTTAAACTTGCTTTTTAGGAAGCTTGTTATTTATCAAGATACTGATCTGGTGATGTGACGAGGCCTCACAAACTGCAGATCAGCCTAGGTACAACATAAACTTCCAAAGATAACTTTGACATTTTCTAGTTCTCTGAACACTGTGTCATCTACTGTTAAAGTTAAGGACATTATCTTCATTATATACCACGTAACTTCCTGTTTCAGAAAAAAACTGATAAAACACTAGGTTAATTTTTGCAACGTTTAAAATAGTAAATGATTCTAAAATTACTTAGAAAAATAACATTTTACTATATGAAGGGACCTTACTGAACACCTGCTCCACCTTTTTTAAGAGATCTGAGGGCACAGAGGTTAAATAAATTATGAGGACACTTAAGTAAGTGAAGATCTACGTCCCATTGTCTTGATTTTGTTTCCCTCTACAGTTGAATTTAGTGGTTGTTCACTATTTCCTTTTGTATTTACATCCAGGAAATTTGCATAGCTAAATACTACTACTGCTAAGTCACTTCAGTCGTGTCCGACTCTGTGCGACCCCTGGGTTTCTCCAGGCAAGAACACTGGAGTGGGTTGCCATTTCCTTCTCCAACAAATACCACTAACTAACCTCAAAGTTTTTCATTTTAAGGAGAATCTGAAAGCCAGAGGTCTTCCCCAGATTTTATGAATTTGGCTTTTTCATTTTTTAGTTATTCAAGTAATGCATTTTTACTATAAAGTACATTCTCCATTTAGAGATTAATTTCAGAGTCACTTTAGTGTAACTGCTAACTTCTCTAAGTGATAATTGATAAAGTGACATTAAAGAAAGGACATTATTCTCCTGTGTTCTCCTTTTTTATATTTTGCCACGCCCTGGAGCTTGTGGGATCTTAGTTCCTGGACCAGGGGCTGAAATTCTGAGGTAGTCCTAACCACTGGACTGCCGGGGAATTCCCTCCTGTGTTCGCTTAATGATGAACCGTGATGAAAACAGAGGAAGCTGTCTGGATTTAAGATGTTGGCTGGAGGTTATGTGCAGAAAAATTATGTACATTTCCTAACTTGTTTCATGCCACTCCTCCCCAGTGCTCACATCAGCCTTTCTAGCCTTCTTTCTCTCTTTAACTCACAAAGCTCTATTCCTGCCCATAATGCCTTCAAAGACTGGCCCCTCTAAGTCAGTGGCTTTCAAACTTTTTTGATCTCACTGTAGTAAGATACGTGCTTAACATAGTGACCTGTGTAGGCATGCATGCATACATCTGTAAGTATGTTCAGACACATACACATATGTATAAATGTATGTATAACTAAAACAAAAGTTGCACATCATGTGATGTGTTCTACTGTTTTTTCAATTATGGTCCAGCCCATAATTGATTTCATGGTCTATAAATGGGTCACAGCCGGCAATTTGAAAAACACAGCTTTATATGGACTGCCTTTTCCCAAAACATTCTTGGATGACTTCTTGTCATTCATGTCTCATCTCAAAAGATACCTCTTGGAGACCTTTCTGACTGACTATAGGTCTCTTCTCCCCTGTTCCTTCCCCCACTTTAAAAGCCCTCAGACTGTCTTGCTCGTATATTCACTTGTTTAATATCAGTGTCCACTGAAATATAAGCTCAGTTACCAGCACACAACACAATGACTAGCAAAGAGTATACATCTAATAAATTTTTGTTTAGTTAATAATTACTGTTTGAGAATTATAAATGTTTACACTGTAAAGAAAGGAGTGGAAGCTGAGATCAGATAAGGTATGACCTTAGCAGACTGAGTCAATGATGCCCAAATTCACATGAATATGGAGTCATTCAGTTAATATTTAATATTTGAAGTTAAGTCACATTTAATCACAATTTCTCCCCTTAAAATTAGAGTTTACACCTATAAGAATTACTAAGATATAATTGCCCTGACTTACCATTTTTTAAGTCTTTTACTTGGTAAATGATGTTTTGCAAAAGCTACACTAAGCGTTTCTTTTCAAATACTAACTTAATATTCAGGTATGAAAATCTTGTCAAACACTGTAGAGATGCTAGTACTTAGAATAGACGTTAACAGTATTATTCAGAATGTTACATAGAATTGTATACAGTAGAGCATTTATTATAATGTGTCAAAAGCACTTAGAAATAAATCATCTTATGTAGAAAATATGGAGTAAAATTTTTAAAATGAAATAATTTAAAAATCTGAAAGAGGAGACTTGATTTGAATCTTGGGTTTGCTCTGAGACATTAGGCAAGGTCAGTTCTTTCCATTCAGCAAGTATTTCTTGGTATACTTACTGTGTACCAGGCAGTGTGCTGTGGTGTTCCAGATATACAATGGAGAACAAAACTATTATGATCCCTACTATCTAAAGCATTTAATCTAATGTTTGGAGGACATTATGTCCTCCTGTAGTGGAGGACACAGATGTTACACATGCAAGTAAATTTAAAATGCAAATGGTTTTAAGTACTGTGAAGAAAAAGAACAAGATACTATAGTACATAGTAATCAATAGGACATGGTTTATGTATGAGCCAGATACAGTTAAACCAAAAAAAGAATATTAGGAGTTATTTAAGAAAAGGGACTGGAGGAGGACTTTTTTTTTCAAGCAAAGAGAACAGCAAGTTCCAAAGTCCTAAAACCAGCAGTTCTTTAAGAGGACCTAAAAAGACCAGTTTGGCCAGAATATAGTAAGTAAGAGGGAAAGAGGTAGGGAGCCCAGATCAAGTAGGTCCTGATAGACCATTTTAAATGAGTCTACTCTTTAATTCTAAGTACATCGGGGATCCAGTGATGGCTTCTGAGTAGAGACTGACATGATGGGATTTACTTTTTTAAAAGATAACTCTGACTCTTATATGGAGAGTAGATTGGCTGGTACAAGAGTAGAAGGAAGTATATTTTCACAGAAGTCCCAATAGGAAGTGATTATGACTTGAAATAGAGTGGATGGAGAAAAATACACTGGTTGAGAAACATTCTAGAGGTAACTGTGGCAAAACGGCTAATGAGTTGAATGTGAGAGTTGATGGGAAAGCAATATCAGGAATGATTCTGAAATTTCGTACCTAACCTGCTGAGTGTATGGAAATGTGTATCATTTATGAAGCAGGGAAGGGAGAAAATACAGAACAGGATTTAAGCATGGGCTCAAGGGTTGTGTTACACATGTTAAGTATTACAGGTATGTGCAATAGCCATGTAAAAATGTCTAGTGACCTATTATATGTAAGTCTGTCATTCAGAAGGGAGGTCAAGGTAGATGCCATAGGAATAGAAAAAATTATCTAGAGAGCTTAAGTCTTGAGGAACTACAACTTTAGAAGTTAGGCAGAAGGTAAACAAGTATCCCAGAACTGAAGAAAAGAGTATTTCAAATTGGAAATAAATAAGTTAAAGCTTCTGAGAGGCCTAATAAGATGAGAACTAAAATATCCTTTGGATTTAGTAACAGTTATTGACTGCTCTAACAGCTGCGTGGGAATGAAAAAGATACATATGTGTGTATATGTATATACACACACACATACACATATATCTACATACATATATGGAATATATATATATTATCTCCACATAGATGGGGAAAACTGGAAAGGAGACAATAGCAACACAAACTAGAAAAGAATCACATAAAATAGGCCCAAGAAAGCCAATTCCTAAACAAGCAGTGGGGAAAACCAAGACCCAATCCAGTTTATACTAGTGTATCAGAAACACCTCGATAACTTGTTACACAAATTGCTGGACCAGAGTTCCTAATTAAGTAGTTCTGGGGTAGAATTTTCTAGCAAGTTCCCAGGAGATGCTGATACTGCTGATCCTGAATACTACAATTGAGAACTGCACTAGAGAATACTAAGCAGGACTAGAATTGGTTGTATCAGGTACCCCTCTAAGTGGGTAAAGAGGAAGGCTAAAATAAGGAAAGCTTATGAAAACTTGTTTAAGAGCCAGTCAGATATAATAGTATAATAACAGAATAAGTATCCATAGAGATAAAATGAGATCATGAATCTACGAAACAAGAATAGGCTATTCTTAAAAAGAAATTCAGGGTAGAAAAAAAGACTTTGAATAATAAAAACATTAAAATATTTTTTAACTCCAAACAAATTAGAAGGTGAATTAAGATAGTCTCTTACAGAATAGAGCAGAGAGATAGAAGATCATGGGAGAAGAAAGGCAAGAAAACTAGTATATGAGTTCAAGTTCCAAATAATAGGGGTTTGGGGAACAGAGAAAGCATAAGAAAGAAATTATCAATAACATAGTTTAAGAAATTTCCCCAGAACCAATGGGTATATAATTACAGACAGAGTCAATAAAAGCCCAAATTGGATGAAAATAATACCACACCAAGGTATGTCACTGTAAAATTTCAGGAGACTTATTTATTGCTCAGGCAACTGGTGTGTTCAACAACTGTCTCTGATTGTTTTCGACAAACGTTCACTGTGGTTTGCACCAGGGCCAAGTTCCAAGTCAAGTCAAATAAAAAGAACCTTGCAAGTATAGTCTCTGAGGGAATTACCAGAGAGGTCAAATAATGACAATTTCCTGGCGGTGGGGCTTTTAATGACCTGTAACTCCATCGAGGATGTCCCTGGTGGCTCAAATGGTAAAGAATCTGCCTGCAATGCGGGAGACCCAGGTTCGATCCCCAGGAGAAGAAAATGGCAACCCACTCCAGTATTTTTTTCTGGAGAATCCCATGGACAGAGGAGCCTGGCTGGCTACAGTCCATGGGGTCACAAAGAATCAAACACAACTGAGCGACTAACACTTTCACTTTCAACTCCATCCTATTCCTTACAGTGGCTGTCCGGCTGAGGTTTTCACTGTGGTTACTGCTTGTTAGTTTCCAAGATTACCATGGAATTGAAGAGGGAGAGACTGGGTATAAAGCAAGCTAAAATGCCACAGAGCTACTGAGCTTCTTACCAAGGTTGAGCCTTTTTCCTTGAATAAATGCTACCTGTATCAGCCTTTGTTTAATTAATTTCCATAGTTTTCCGAAAGCTGGTTTGGACAATTTTTGCCCATGTTCCATGCCTTGTATGCCTCCATACAATGATGATTTTCAGAGGTCCTTACTCTGGTTTCTTTGCCAGTGATCGCCACATGTGGCTCTTTAGGCTAACTAAAATAAATTCAATCCCTTAGTTGCTCTAGCCATATTTCAGATTCTCAAAAGCCACATGTGACTAGCGGCTACTCCACTGGCCAGCACTGATAGAACATCTCCATCATCTCAGTTTTATTGGACAGTGTGGCTTTAAGGTATTATCTTCATTTTATAGATGAGTAAATTGAAGCTCAAAAATGATTAAGTAAGTTGCTCAAAGTCTCTGAGATTTCAAAGTCCTGGAAGCCTGGCATGTTGCAGTCCATGGGGTTGCAAAGAGTTGGACACAACTCAGCAGCTGAACTGAACTGATGCTATTAACCACCAAGCTGTATTTTCTCCCAGTGATTTCCAGCTTTTTCATGTCAGGGAATACATAAAAAATGGTCTTGTATAGACAACACTGGGGTAAATGGATGTGTACCTACAAGATCATCAGCCCTACTTCTGCTGCCCTTGGCTCTGCACACCCATCCCAGGAACAGGGGAATCAACAGCTCAGCACATTTAAGTGTCACAACATCCTGATCATGAAGTTCTGCAGTACACTGTAACAGTAATTCTCATAGTGTGGTTCCAAAACCAGAAGCATCAATGACGACCTGGGAACATGTTAGAAATGTAAATTCTCAGGCCTCATCCAGACCTACTGAATTAGAAATTCTGGGAGTGGGGTCAAGAAGTCCATAGTTTAACAAACCTTCCAGGTGATTGTGATATATATACAAGCTTGAATACTCTGTATAATAAAAATTTCTTCTCTGAATGGTGATAGGAAAATTGGTTGACCATAATGGAACTAAGTAATAATAATAATAAATAGTGTACATATATTATGTGTGTGTGTATATACATCACATATATATATATAAAATAAATATAAATTTATATATACAGACACAGACATACACACCCAAATATATGAAATATATACATTATTATCATTTACTGGAAAACCAGTACAAAAATATTGTTTTCTAAATTCCATCTTTTATCCCTCTATTAGGAGACACTGCTATTTATATCTGAGAGAATCAGTTAATTTTTATCTTTTGTTTTGAACTATTGAATACCTTATGAATTTCTTTAGTTTATGTTCAAACCCTCCCAAATTAGTGAATACCTACCTTTTATTCAGCTTTATTATAATATTTAGATATGGTGGTTAATTTCACTAACAGTACTCAGCAGTAAATAATATGAGCCAGGTTTGATCCCTGGGTCATGAAGATCCCCTGAAGCAGGGCATGGCGACCCACCCTAGGACTCTTGCCTGGAGAATCCCATGGACGGAGAAGCCTGGCAGGCTGCAGTCACAGGGTCGCACAGAGCTGGACACAGCTGAAGCAATAAGTGGCAGCCGCAGAATTAGTAGGCTGAGTAAAAGCTGAAGTGCTAAAACATAAAACTTCTCTTGTGGTAGCCCCCCTTTAGTGCCTCTTCACTTTTTTAAGACCATTGATTCCTCAGAGAATCTGCTTCTAGAAATGGACAGTCTCACCAGAAAAAAAAATATGCATAGTTAATGTTTTACATAAAGCTTCAGGATACTTTGACTTAATTGCAATAGGATAAGTATTTAGTTAACTTTAGTTATAAGTTCATGTTTTGTGAAATATTGCATATTTGGGGTTTGATTGCTTATGTTTGTTATTTTAATTAACTTATTCCTTCTTTCCTGTCACCCTTACTCTAAGGTGGATACATTGCAAATAGCCTAGCAATCATGACAGATGCACTTCATATGTTAACTGACCTCAGTGCCATCATATTGACCCTGCTTGCTTTGTGGCTGTCTTCAAAATCACCAACCAAAAGATTCACCTTTGGATTTCATCGTTTAGGTAAGTAATGGGGCGTTTCTTTATTTATAAAATTTTATAGTAAAATCACAATGAACTATATAACCTTTGATTAAAGTCTTTCTGGTGATAGCCTATTAGAACAAAGCAAATGAAAATAGACAAATAGGAACACCTGCAAATGCATTATGTGTTATGCATTGGCTTAGGAAATAAAGCTATTCAGATATATTTCTTCAGATATATATCTTCCAGAGTACATTCAGTTCATTCAGCTAAATAGCTTACACATGTAAAATTACATGGTAATCAGGTACTTCGCTGACAGTCCAGTGGTTAGGACTCTGTGCTTCCACTTCAGGGGGCACAGGTTTGATCCCTGGTCAGGGAACTAAGATCCCACATGCCATGGCATAGCCAAAAGAAAAAAATTATATGATGATCATTAATCTTCAAATGTTGTTCCCTGTGTCCTGAAGATGTTAACAGAAAAAAAGTTTACCTTCAGTTTATTGAACCAAGCAGAACTATATGTATTTAATTCATCAATGAGTGTTAACTTCTTTCTTTCACTTCAGGCTTTCCAACCAAAGCTACTGTAGTCCAGGTTTGGGGTACTACTGTAATTTGTATAACATGCTGCATGGCTCACCTTCACTGTGGCCATTAACTGTAAATACAACGAAGATTCTCTGCTTGACCAAACCTGAGCCATCTCCCAAGCCCATCTGTGTTCTTCCTTGTAAAATCTAGTTTTAGCAAGAACCTTGCCAAGCCAATTTAACAGAAACCCCATTCTCAATATTCGATGGGTTATCCCCAGGTGATGGCTCATCACCCTGGCTTGTTTTCAGCAAGACTTCCTATACCAATCTCGATGGCTTCCTCCAACCTTTAATAAAGTCTTGTTTACTACATTTTAACAAGTGTCATTGAATTTTTTTCTTTAACAATGCACACATATTTTATTTTCCTATTTTGGATAAATATTAATATTCAGTTAAAAGAGGTTAAAATCATACATTGTTATCCACACAGCTCTTGTTTGTTTTTAAATTTTTTAATTATTTTTAAAATACATGTAGAACAGTCACTTGAATTAGTAAATGAAGTGCCATATGACCAATTTTTGCATTTGCTTAGAACCTAAAAATTGACATTTAAGTAGCTTCAGCAAAGCTGGTCTTAAAGAATCAGACTTAACATCTTTTGTAGAGACGTTGACACTTTGGGCTAATATGGTAGTCAATATCTCCCCTTCTTTGTTACTTTTTAGCCTAATCTTAACATGTAGGTTTCATATAATTTAATAGCTGAGTCTTCTGGTGTAAAACTTGATGTTGTACATGAATGGCTGTATTCCAAGTAGCTATCCAGGTCATAACTTAGGGAAATTATCTGGCATCCCTGTATCTCAGCATCCTCAGCTGCTGTACAAGAGAGGTAAAGCCCTGAACAAGGTCTTTCTGTTATTTGTTAAGCCAGTGCACAACACAATGCATTTGGATGTGTTCCTAAAAAACTCCCACTGCTAACTCACACATTATACATCCATTTGTTTACTGATTGCCTTGGGGTTTGTGAACAGCTTCAAAATTATTCTCAAACTTTAATCTTTTTGTGATATAAACTCCTGAAATTTAAATCAGAACTCAAACATAGCATCATGGAATGGGGATTTTTATTTTCTAAAGAGAGTACATTCATTTTAGATTGTAGATCCCTTGGAATTCTAATGAAAACAGTGGAGTTCTCCCCTAGAAACGTGCAGTAACATAGAAGGTTCTACAAGTGATAAATTAAGAACACATAATCATGGAAATTCTATTAAGTGTCAAAGAAGTATTTAATATTTATTTGGTCATAGATTACAAGCACTATGGAAAGATGAAAGAAAAAAGAACTGACTGGTTCTATTGTATTTCTGTATATTTCTATAGAAAGTCAAATTTTTCCCTTTCCTTAAAAGTACTAGTTCAAGGTGGTGGACTAGAAATCATCAATTGAGATGGGAAATACATTTCAATAGGAAATACAGAGTACCAAAACAACAAAGAAAAGCAAATGGCTGGGTAACCAATAAACAGGAAATTTCTGGTAGTCAGAAAGTAGATGGGAGTGGGTTGAAGAAAGAAACAAGCCAAGGAGCAGCAGCCTGGAGTACACTTGGGCAGGAACTGGATCAGCCTAATGGAACTCCAAAGAAGACTCAGGGACAGAAATGGCAGAAGTGAGAATTAGGGCTTAAAACAAGATTAACTGAATGGCTATAAATGGGAAACTGCTCCTACTAGTTCATTCACTATGTCCCTACCTTCTTCCCATCCCCACCTCCCTCAGGCAGTCTGCATTTCTCTCCATGTGAACACTAAATAGTTCTAGAAAGAAACTGAGCCAGATGTTTGGAGAAAGCTGAGGTTTTTAGTGTGAATGTTGATGCTCCAAAATAAATCTTTTTCATCCTAGAATTCAGGGTTCTGCAGCCTTAGAGTTTGGTTCCCCACATACTCATGCTAAAGTAATACACTTGTCTTAGTCTGCCCTGCTCTATACCCCTTATTCATAACTATCTTAAATAGTTATGTGTTATCCTTCCAGCATTTATTTTTTGCATAGTCCTGTCCTTCTACCCTAAATGTGAACAGACAACCAAGGATCTTTTAGGAAATGAGAAAAATCAGCAGCATGAAAGAAAGTTTAAAAAGAAAAAAAAACTAACAAAAATTTGTCCTACCTGAAAAAGAGGTGATTTAAGAAACAGAGGAAAATGATTTAAATTATCTTATTAATATACTCAGTATAGTAAAACAGTAAAATATTTTGAAAAAAGCATATAGAAAAAGCTCTTTGAAATTGAAATATTACAAAAAATTAAAAAAAAATTTTTTTTCAATAGGACTAGAAAATATAATCAAGAAAGTCTTCCAGAAAGAGAAATACTGTATGATAATATTTATATATGAGATCTAAAATATGATATAAATCAACCCATCTATGAAACAAACAGACTCACAGATAGAACAGACTTGTGGTTGCCGAAGGGGATGGGGAGGGTGGGGGCTGGGTAGGGGAGGGACAGAATGGGAGTTTGGGATTAGCAAAGGCAAACTATTATATAATAGGATGAATAAACAAGATTCTACTCTATAGCACAGGGAATGATACTCAATATGCTATGAGAAACTATAATAGAAAAAAATATGAAAAAGAATATATATGTATAATTGAGTCACTTTGCTCTGCAGAAGAAATTTACAAACATTGTAAATCAGCTACAATAAAAATTTTAAACAGTACTAAAAAAGAAAAAAAGTCTCCCAGAATACAGAACAAAAATAAATAAAAACAGGAAAAAAAGTTTAAAACTATAAAAGAATGATCTGGAAAGTCTGAAGTATACTATTAAAAACCTCAGAAAAAGAGACTTAAAAAATAAAAAGAAGTGACTGCTTCAGCATTATAGGGTTTCTTTTTCGGGCTGATGAGCATGTTCTGGAATTAATGGTACTTGTACAACCTGTGCATATACTAAAACCCACTGAATTGTCCTCTTCAAAATTGTTAAAGTGGTAAATTTTGTTATTTGAATTTTATCTAAATTTTTTAAGTCATCTAAAAAATAGAAGGAAGAGGATTATTGTGATACAGATAGGTGAGTATTTTCCAGAGCTAAGGAGAGAATCACTCCCTCATATTAGAAGGGCCTTTTGAGATCTTTTTCTTCTTTGTATTCCAAAATCTTACAAGAATATAGATAGATAAGAACGTATTTCACATATTCTGCTCTTTGAAGTAATGAAAGAAAAACTTATGATGATCTGAGGAGGATTAAAAAGGCACTAAAGGTATGTAGAGTTGAACAAAGCTATAAACCGAAGCAGTGGCTGTCGTCATGTGCTATAACATTCCACAGCTTCACAAGTAATCCAAGTTCTCTAGGGGAAGGTATGTTTACGTTGGATGCCTTTAGAGAGCATGCCTCTAATGACCTCCCAACTACCGAGATTTGGGGATTCAGGTTCTAAAGAACGTTTCGGAAGGAATTCCCCCTAAGAAACTTTTGGTTGGTTACTGTGCTGTTGAGTTTTGTTTTGCTTTGATGGCATGGGTGATAGGAGTTGGATTTTTCTTTGTTGATTTACTTTGTATATATGTAAAACTGTCACAGAAGTCAAAAATTAATTTTTAAAAGAAAAGATTTACTCAGAGAAGCCTTGCTTTCATCCTGTCCCCTCCAACCCATCCTTCTGCCCTACTCCTAATTAGCAACCATTCTAATTACATTCTGTCTGTCCTTCCAGCATTTCCTTTTGAAAGTATAAGAAAAAAAAATATGTACGTTCATATGCCACTCCCCGCCACCCTTTCCTATGCAAAGGCAGCATACTAGAGGTGTGTGTCTATGGATAAGAGTTAGATACTAGTAGTATGATACCCTAAATCTATTTTCTTTTTGTCTTCTTATAACACTTTCAGTTCAGTTCAGTTCAGTCGCTCAGTCGTGTCTGATTCTTTGTGACTGAACCGCAGCACGCCAGGCCTCCCTGTCCATCACCAACTCCCAGAGTCCACCCAAACCTATGTCCACTGAGTCGGTGATGCCATCCAACCATCTCATCCTCTGTCATCCCCTTCTCCTCCTGCCCTCAATCTTTCCCAGCATCAGGGTCTTTTCCAATGAGTCAGCTCTT